TTTTTAGATTCATAAGCTATACAATTAGAGTTACAAATAGATGGGGTGGAATCAGATATAGGCATATCCAAATTTTATTCATTTATATTCTATTTCAACTTGGATCTCATCATTGGATTCAATCCAATTCGGATTACAACTGAGAATTGAATGGTATTAATAAGTTAATTTTAAAAATGATTAAAATATTATATATTATTATTAATTAAACTAAAGTTGACTTTAATATTGCATTTCTTTAACAAATTATGTTTCTCATCTCTCTGTCTTTGTCCATGAATTTCCTAAGACCGCATTTGATAGCAAATGGAACATAATTAAAGTTAGGAGTTTAAATTAGCCTACCAAATTCCTTCAATTCTTTTTTTTTTTTTCCGTTTTGGTTGATTGTTTGTATTTAAGAGTGGAAATAAAATTACAGAAGTGGAGATTGATGATTCGTGATCTGGAAACTCCTTGCTAGAGGGCAGTTTGGATGCTAAGCTGGCTAATTTGCTGGGTCGACTTGCAAAGAGATAATGTCAGAGTGTTCGGGCTGCTTTACCTGGAGTGGGAACTCCAATGCTTAAATTAGCAAATTAGAGATTTTTGAGAGAGCTAAAAGTGAGAGTGCTAGGGAGCTACGAGAGATAAATTGCACATACCTTCTGAGGTTGGAAATGAGACTTTTATAAAGGCATAAGGAACCAGGAGCTTCCTGTAACGCATCCAAGATTCTCGGGAAACCGCATCTGCCATGTCCGGAGGAGAGGGATACAGTTTGTTCAATTAACTCCGATGCAGACAATACGACAAAACGGGTGTAACGGTCGAGCGTTGTGGTGCTAAAGAAGTCGAAAACAATAATTTGCATAAAGAAGAGGTCGACAAGCACGTTTCACAAATCGCCACCTGGACCTCAGTCAAGTCAGCAAGTCCTCGAGGAGGTCGCTCCTCACGCTGAGGTCCCTTGGACCGGTAATGATGAGGTACTACAGTCTGGCCTTAGATGAGGTACTGCTAGCCGCTTTTCCAAGTTGCCCAAGTTGCGTATGAGGTTGCAAGTTGGGTCTCCATTAGGTCATCGGAGGTAGGTCGTCAGGTCTCCAGTAGGTCGGCGAAAGTAGTTCGCCAGCTGGGTCTCCATTAGGTCAGCGGAGGTAGGCCACCAAGTCTCTAGTAGGTCAGTGGATGTAGGTCGCCAAGTCTCCAATAGATTGGCGGAGGTAGGTCGCCAGGTCTCTAGTAGGTCGGCAAAGGTAAGTCGCCAGGTTAGCGGAGGTAGGTCGCCAGTTAGGACTCCATCATTTTGGCTAATACAAGTTATCACCTACATGGTGTCAGGGTATCATTTAACAGTTCTGAGATGCCACGTGTCATGATGTTAGTGGAGGGCCAAATCAACCTTCATCAGAGCTAATTCCCAAGAGCTATTAATGGAATTAAAAATGGACTTGTATTTTCCATGGGAGCAATGGAATTAAAAATGATGTAAGGGCTTGTCTTCTTTCATACCTTTAAGTAGGGGTGAGCATTCGGTTTATTTGGTTAAAAACCGAATCGAATAAATCGAAATTTTAAAAATCGAACCAAAACCGAATTATAGAAAAACTAAAATAACCGAAACCGAAATTTTCGGTTCGGTTTTTGGCTATTTCAGTTAAAACTGAATTTTAATAATATATACTTTATTATATATATTATATATTATGAAATCAAATTTTAGTATATTATATATTAATATGTAAATATATAATGTATTACATATTATATATTATATATTATATACTATATCTTACATATTATATATTATATATTACATATAATAATAGAAAGTTTAGTTAATTCGATTAACCAAATTTCTAATTCTAAAATCCGAAACCTAAAACCAAATTAACTGAACTGATTTTTAACCAAAAACCGAAAAGACCAAACTAAACAAACCAAAACCAAAATTTTTGGTTCGGTTTTTCGGTTTTAACCAAATAGTGCTCAGCCCTACCTTTAACTAGGGTTAGGGTATAAATTTTAGTAGGACAGATCTGACACTAACCCACCATTAATTCCATGCTCATATTTAATGGGATTAGAAATCACAAAGAATATATTTCAGAGTAGTTTTTTTCTAAGAAAGGAAAATTTTATTAATGTTATGATCCAAGCTTGGGCAAATTTTAAGACAGATTTGAATTTTTCCTTATTAGGGGATGTGAATTGGAATGGATTTGCTCCAAGCCGATCCGGTCCAATGTGAGTTTATTACAAATGGACCAGGTTCAATCCAATATAATGAATATTTTGGACCATTTTAGATCGCTCTAATTAATGTTTGGACTGTCCAATCTGTTCAAATTTATTTTAATTTAGATTAATTCGAAGCCAAACCTGGTCCATTGACACCTATAGTCTTATCTTCTATCAATGGACCGAATATTGGCTAAATCCATCCCAATCCAATATAAATTCATTATAGATGGATCAGGTCCAATCCAATCCAATAAATACTTTGGACCATTAAGTCTGGACAGGTGCAACTCAACATGGTTTTCAAAACTGGAACGGACCGAATGATCGGATCGGAAAAACTGGGAACTTAGTCAGGTGATTGATTCTGTTTTACCCCAGAACCATTATTTCGCCAAAAACCGCTGATTTGGTCAGCAAACCGCAGACCCAAGTGGTCAAACCATTCGAACTGTCCAATGGTTTTGACTGTTTTTTATTTTTTATATTTATGTCAGAACAGGCCGTCCGTTCTATTCGAATAGTCAAACCGTTCGACCCAAAAGCTGAACCCCTAACCAGTTCGGTTTTAAAAAACCTTGCAACTCAATATGTCTCGTTGGTCCGTCTAATCAATCTAAATTGATTTTTTTTGGACGGGTCCAATCCAAAACTGCTCCATTGACACCCCAAGCCCATACATGTTATCATCCAGACTGTAGATTGCCCAAATGAACTGCATATATGGTTGCAACATATATCGGGATTTGGAGTGATCCAAGCAAATCTAGATATACATATCCCAATGGAGGAATATATAGGTCAAGATGTGGGTTTGGATCCCCATCGGATTTTGTCTAGGTAAACCCATGCCCGGCCCATTTTATGATATTGATTGGATCCTAAAAGAAAACCCATACATGGTTGGATGTATACCTAGCCAAAAACTTTGATTAGATCCTTGTTATCATATTTGGGTTGGAAGAGTAAGGTCATTCCTAAGATCAACCTTCTCTATTTCATCCCTAATCCACTTCATTCCATCACATTCCTATCCAGACCTGCAACTAATGAAAGTTTTTTTCCATTCCAAGCTTACCAGTCCAAACAACATCGTCAATCAGGTAGTTCTTGGCTAGGATCAAAGTTTGATCCCTTGCATAGTAATTAGTCAACAAACCAGTGATAATTGGCTTACTGCATCCAACATATTGTTCTTGTGTTTTAGTAAACAACTCATTCCGGAAGTTAATGTCAGAAACTGAGGTTGGATTGATTAAAAAATAGAAAGAAAAACAGTAGGGTTGATTATTATATTCTTAAATAATTATTATTAATAATTTGGTTTATTAATAACAAAGTGATAAGTATCAATACTTGTACCAAGAGATTAATGACTGAAATTGAAATTGGGTTGATTATTATATTCACTAAAAACAAAGCCATAAGACATTTGGTTAAGCTATTTCAGCCGTTATGAAAGTATCAATATTTGTACCAAGAAAAAGGTAAATCCCTCAAACCTCCCTAAGATTTTTTGAAACGGCCTTAAACCTCTCTTCAACTTTATCATGCCCTTAAATCTCCCCTGACTTTTTGGGATAAACGTACTTTATAGACCTTTTCCATTATTCTGCCAATAAAAATCTAACAACAATAACTGATGCCTTGGATTTAAGCATATTATAATGTCAATTTTGCCCTTAATATAAAACCATTAAAAATTTAATGACTGAAAAATTCTTAAACATTTAACAGAAAAAACCTTAAATCTTTAAAAAATAAAATAAAATACCCTTAAATCTCTTTCTACCTTTTCATTGTTTATATTTCTCATGAAATGAAACCAAGCCGAAGAAGGCTCCTTAAAAGTAACAAGAAGATTTGTTTATTCTATCCAAAAATAGGTTTATTTATGTAGTAAAAGAAATGAAATACTAAAACATATTTACTGGTATTAACAATTCTCTTAGGAAAATCTGCTAACTGGATTGGAGGAATTAGCATGAACACAACAGATGTCCACTTAAAAGTAACAGAAGGGGGCCTAAAGTCCCTTTGTCCCCAACAGTGAGGGGAGGTTTAAGGGAATTACCCAAAAAAAATATATCGATACGATATGTGGCTTTGACTGTTTGTGTTGTTTTCTGCCCCTTTAACTCCCAAATTAATTCAGCATATTAGTTGCCAATTGCGTTATGTAATCTCTCTATTTAATAAAGACATTTTAAAGCCATAACTAAAGTGGCAACTGGCTCAATTAAGAAGGTGTGGAGTCAAACAAATATATGTTTTAAATCTAAGAGTTCAACTATGAGCATTCATTAATATATTTTTGGTAACTCCATTCATTAATGTTGGATGCACATCAAACCTAAATTTCAATGATTGTTAAAGCTCTACTTACTTTTCATTAATTTAGTTTTTACAAAGTAACATCACATTCAAAAAAATCACATCTTTTACTCTACCATGTATTTTTTACTGAATCTCTATTTTAATGAGTGAGGACGAATTTTGAAGAATTCTCACTCGTTATTGTAATCCTTAGCACAATAATACCTCGAGTCTAGGAGATGTGGTCCACCTAAAACGTATACAACCTCTTCCAATAGGAGTATAACACGAAGAACACAAACGTGGATTTCAAGTTTCACATAATCAAGACAAAAGTGAATGCCGTCTACTTCTCTTTTTCTCTAATCTGCATGTGATGAAGGTAATGTAAATCTAGCATTAAATTACATGGGCTGAACCTCAAACCTCTATAAAAGCCTGCAGAGGAAGGTGAAATGACCACCGGAAGAGAAGGGCCATTGTGTGTGTGTGTGAGAGAGAGAGAGAGAGAGGGGATGGAATATTCATGGAGGAAGGTGTTATTGTTGGAGATTTTGGGGTTTCTTTTATTTGATGGGTTGCTTTGCATGGCTGCCGGCGCGGTTTATCGGCACGATTGGGTCGTAAGTAATTAGATCTTTGGTTGTCCTTGTCCAGTCCAGTTGATTTTAGAATTACGTTTGTGATATGGCCGGAGCCCCATATATAGGATTGGGCGATTGGCAATTGCTGATGTCGATTCGTCGACTCCATGCAAATCCCAACCCAGCTGCTTAATTTCATCTTCTAGTTAGAACTTGGAAGAAGCAGACATGGAATACTTGCTAACCATAAAAGCCTTATTATTAGAGCCCCCCACCCTGATGTTCTTTCCTATACAATTTCCACCAGTCTCTGTTGGAATGGTGAATCTGAGGGCTGTATGGGTCTCTCCATCCCAGACTTTTATCGCATGAAAGTCGGTCTGTCTTCCATGGAGGACGCCATCTCTTGATTGGCTTTGGGAGTAGAGCTTGCAGCAGAAGTGAAACCAAAACAAAAGGAAGTTGTCCACCTCTGTATGCATCTCACAGTTGAACTTCTGCTGGACCAAAAGTTCAAACAATATCCCCATTCACGAACCTGACCTATATGGCTGGCTATAATATATCATTGATGTGTCCCCACCTTAACCTCATGGTGGGGCCGCATCAATACATCAAATGCCATGATTTGTCGTATCAAAATTAAGTTAACAGGTTTGAAATTGCGTCTCGTCAAAGGGAGAGATGCCAAGTAACCGACAGATGAGTACTACTGTCAAGGGCCAAAATTAATCCAAAAAGATCCGGCCATATTGCACAAAATAACTCTTGGCTCTTGGGTAAATTAATTTTCTATTTGTTAATATTAATTGAGGAAAATACCACATGTTGGAGACAGGGATGATGTGAGCTGGAATTTTGACACGTGGCCGATTAAGAGAGTCTCCTACGTGGACACTTTTGTATCTGTTGTTGCTTTGTTTCTGTGATTTAGAATTTTTAAGGAAACCATTTTATCTATTTATGTTATTACTGATGTGACTGAGAAATATATATATATATATATATGTGGTGACTGCCTGACTGGTGATTAATTGTTGTAGTTGACAGAAAAAAACTACACTCGATTGTGTTATACCAAACCTGTCTTGACGGTGAACGGCCTGTTTCCTGGACCAGAGCTGCATGTCCACAAAGGAGATACCGTCATTATTAACGTTGTAAACCAAGCAACTTATAACATCACTCTTCACTGGTATGCCTTTACTTTTAACTACTTAATTCCTTATTTGAATTTATATTTATGTGTTGGATTTAGTCCAAAGTTAAAGTTATATGGCAACTTTCCTCTTCTTCTTTGTCTTTCTATTCCTCTTTGCATGAAAAGCTGTAATACTTAGACCACGTTAATTAATTAAATAGAGGATAAATTATGTATGCTAGTTGGACAAATTAAATATTAAAACGGGCAGACACATACATGCAGGAGTGTTTGGTGCACATGTCTCTTGCTTTCAAGTTTCAACCACTCTGGTAGGTACTGGTAATGGGTGTTTCATAAACAATAGTTCAAGTCTTTTAGACTTGTTTAATAATGAAGTTAAGATTTCAGAAGATTCAATAGTTATTATCATAGAAACGTATAGTAGTAGGGAAGAAAAGAAAGTAGACAGACGCACACATGATTGGCATCTTTTGAATAATTACAAAATACACAAAAGTTAAAAGGGTCTCTTTTTTTTCTTCTTCTTCTACTCCTTCTCGTTCTCTCACTCTCTCTATTGTCCTTTCATTTTCCCAAAATGAGAAACAAACCACTTTTGCTGCGCTGCGCTAAAACCACCATTAATGACGTCGCTGCCACTACCACAACTATTTGCACTATTTGATCGATTCATCAGCTGCCTTATGCCTACTACGCTACTACCTGCTCATTAACCAGTGCTAAATTGAAAATTTATTCCTTCCAACTCATACCGCAACCATATATATTAGTCTGTTCCATAGATAGAACAAACATGCTGACCTACTTTTGTCCTTGATTCATTATTTATTCCCTGTTGTCTGTATTTAGGTTTATCAAAATTTAATATACAGTTATTAATCAGTTCCTCACTTAACCAAGCGGATCCTTTTTTCTGAGAGTAGCACCGTTTTTGTTTTGTCATGCTCACAGGCACGGACTGAAACAACCAAGGAATCCTTGGTCAGATGGGCCAGAGTACGTGACTCAGTGCCCAATCCAACCAGGAGCAAATTTCACTTACCAGCTTATTTTCTCTGACGAGGAAGGGACCATATGGTGGCATGCACATAGCGACTGGTCTCGAGCCACAGTCCATGGGGCTATCATGATTTACCCCAAGCACGGAACCAGCTATCCCTTCAAAAAGCCTCATGGGGAGGTACCTATTATACTCGGTACGTATATTTCTAATGTTTTCAACCCGTGGATGATCCGGCTGGTCAAATCGTTTGAATTGTTACTCGGTTAGGATTTTGGATTCGGTTCAGTCAAGACCTGTTAGATGGTAAAAAATTGTTGATTTGGTTAAAAACTGTTTGACTTGGTTGGTTAAATCATTGACCCATTTGATCTAGTGACCGAATCATAAGTTGTACATTCAATGCCTGTAAAACTTTCAGTGATCGGGTCGTAAGTTGTACATTCAATGCCTATAAAACTTTCAGAGACTATAACTTTGCACTCTGATGATTGGGGTGTTTTCTTTTTTTTTTTTATTTGGGGTAACTTTTCGAGACCCATGCATCCCAAGGCACCTTGCCCCGCTATTTTCATAAAAAAAAAATCCATGTTTTAGCCTTAATTTGCAAATTTTAATATTTTTTATAAATAAAAAATTAAAAAATGAATTAAATATAAAATAATACATATAATATATTTAAAACATATTTATACATTATTTATTGCTAAAATATATATATTTATGCTCATATTTATACATATATACACACATATAATGTATATAAATATATAAACTTATACACATATATGCGATGACATGGCACAGTCTGAACCGTTTGACCCGGAGAGTCAAACCGGTGACCCGCGACCCAGACGCAAAAACGGTTCAGCCTCCAGGTCAGTTTTTAAAACACTGATATATACTTTCCGGCTTATTAAAAAAAACTCAGTTATGAAGTGGGGCCGACCGGGTTGAGCAGGTCTGACGCGTCCGGCTAAACTAGCTTCACCCCACTCGGTTATGAAGGGTTCTGAAGGTTGTTTTAGGGGGATATGAACATATAGGTTTTAACCCTAGTGGAGTTAACCCGATCGAGTCTGGTTGGACCATGTTCAAGTTGAACTTGAGCCGTATTGAGAACCCACTTAAGTGTTTTTGACCCAATCGTCCTTGTTTTGTTTGTATGTGTAGGAAATTGGTACAACGGAGACGTGATGCAGATTATTGAAGATGCCCTTCAAAGTGGAGGAGAACCAAACCAGTCCAATGCTCACACCATTAACGGCCTACCAGGAGATCTCTACAAAGAAACCTATTCATGCGCAAACCCAGGTATAGCTGGGCATCAGATTAGAGTCCATGTCCATGACCTGATGACCATCTCCATCTCTGATATAATTTGACAACGTTGTTAATTAATTAAAAATATGAAGTTGTTGCTATAGCTAATTATATTAACTAATTAATTAACTCAAATGATGCATGGTGTTCATCATCATCAGGAACATTTGAGATGATTGTGAAGAAGGGAAGGAGATATCTGCTTCGAATTATCAATGCCGGAATGAATGAAGAGATGTTCTTCAAAGTGGCTCAACATAACCTCACTGTTGTGGGATCTGATGGAGCCTACATCAAACCCATCACCACCGAAACCATCATGATAGCTCCCGGACAGACCATGGACGCCATTCTAACGGCCGATCAGACTCCGGCTCGGTATTACATGGCCGTAACAGTTTATGCCAGTGGAAACGTTCCCTACGACAACACCACCGGCACGGCCATTTTAACATATAAAAACTACAAGAAGTCATCGTCTCCGGTGATGCCATCCCTCCCCGCCCACAACGACACCGACACAGCAGACAGCTTCACCAAACAGTTCAGAAGCTTGGAAAGCGCTGAACAGGTCCCAAAGGATTACGATCTCCGTATCTATACAACGATTACTGTAAGCACATTGCCCTGTGAATCAGGCAGCACCTGCTTAGGCCCCAACGGAACAAGACTCTCTTCAAGCTTGAACAACCAAAGTTTCGTGAACCCATCGATCGACATATTAGAAGCTTACTACAAATCGATTGCAGAGGTTTACACAACGGATTTCCCCAGTGAGCCACCTCATCCTTTTAACTATACGGGCGACGATCTGCCGTCGAGTCTTCTGACAGCGACTCAGGGTACTAAGGTGACGGTTCTAGACTACAACACTACGGTGGAGGTTGTGTTCCAAGGGACCAACTTGAATGGGCCGGAGAATCATCCGATGCACTTACATGGGTATAGCTTCTATCTTCTTGGAAGCGGTTATGGAAATTTTAACAACGTCACCGACCCTGCTAGCTACAACTTAGTTGATCCACCTCTGATAAACACCGTTTCTGTCCCTAAGAATGGATGGGCTGCAGTCAGATTCCGAGCAGATAATCCTGGTAAGTTTCTATTATATATATCTATTGCATGATCAAACTACTTCTCCGTCGACGGCAAGACCAGCTGCGGCCAACCTATGGACTCACCCGGCCGGCCGGCGGTTAGATGTATAAACCCCTAATTAATTAATTAAAAATGGTTTTATTGGATGATGGTGATGTTTTGCAGGAGTGTGGTTTATGCATTGTCATTTTGAACGGCATGCTAGCTGGGGAATGAACACAGCATTCATAGTGAAGAACGGCTCCAGTGTGAATGAGAGTCTTATACCACCGCCACCAATGCCACCATGTTGAGACTTGAGATCTACAGACATATATAGCAAGATCTGGCTCTTGGCGACGACTAGGTCATGAGCGTCGGTGTTGGGCACAAGGCATTTCTAGCAGCTGGTTTTAACTACATTAATTAATAATTTAATTTGTATTGTTGTATTGTCTTTAATTTGGGTCGTTTTTTGATCGATATGAGATAAATAGATATGGTTGCTAGCTATACCACTCTTCTTTCTACGTTAATTAACAAAACATCATTCTTAAACCATAAAACAAACTGGGCAACTTAATTCTTTAATTTACACGATTACAGGGCCTACAGCCTTTTGTTCTATCTACACAACTTTCTAAGGTTTTCAAACCCTAGATTTCGTGTTTCTTTTTTGGGATAATAGTATATAAGGGCAACTTTTGGGGTTTAATATCAATAAAATTAATATATTTGACAAAAATTCAAAAATAGGTTAAGTTTTTAAAATTAATATCAATAAAGGGCAAAAACATTGTTCATCATCTTCTTCTTTCCATTTGTTCACCAGAGCCGCCATCCGCCGATGCCCGCAACCACCCGCCACCGCCGCCCGCCGCTACCTTTGCCTTCGGCAGCATTGCCGACGGAGGTGGGATGAGGTGGCGGCGTTGGACAGAGAAACCACCAGCGCCACCGCTGCCACCTTTGGCAACGTTGCCGGAGATGGGTGGAGGCGGTGGCGGGGCGGCAGTGGATGACGGTGGTAGGTGGTGGCGGGCGGAGGTGGACAACGGCGAGTAGCGGCGGACGACAGCTCTGGTGAACAAATGGTAAGAAGAAGATGACTAGTGCTTTTGCCCTTTATTGATATTATTTTTAAAAAGTTAACCTATTTTTCAATTTTTTAAATATATTACTTTTGTTGATATTAAACCCCAAAAGTTGCCCTTATGTGCCAGAAACCCTTCTTTTTTTATATTATTTTGCATGAGTTTCATATTTCGCTTACTTTGAAATCTGAGTCGTTCAAAGTCCAAGCTTTCATTGTCCAGTTCATGGTATTAGCAGGAGTTGGCCCAGTTGGGGAGAAATTTTGCCTGCATACGATCGCAATGAAATTATGATATGCCATTTTCAACCCGTCTTTGATTCGGCCGGTTCAACCGTTTGAACCATTACTCGGTCAAGATTTTAGGTATGGTTCTATTAAAGTCCACTAGTTAGTCAAAAAAACGTTGATTTGGTTAAAAATCATCCGACTCGATTAAAAAAACTATTTTTGGCCTCGAATCACAATTTTTAATATTTTTATAAATAAAAAAAATGAAACTGAATTAAAAAACATAAATTAAATAGAAAATAATACACATAACATTTCTAAAATATAATTATACACTATTTATTGATAAAATATATATTTGTACATATATACATATATTTATACACACATAACACATATATATATATATATATGCTAGTGTAACCCGTTTGACCCCAATAATGGAATTGGTGACCCACAACGCGGAGGCAAAAACGATTGAAATCTATGTCGGTTTTTAAAACATTACAATACAGTATACACATTGTTTGAAATAGAAAAAATAAATAAAAAAAAAAATTTGATGTGATGCTTGAAATTTTTAAGTCAAAAAAGGGCTGGCGTTGGCGTGTTCGTGGTTTATCTTATTGGAGCTCAGATCTCTTGCCAAGATATTCCAACTAGCCATGGCAATGTGGCGCAGCAAGGCCAGGTTTTGCTTGCCCCGTCCCTGACCCAAATTCAAATGTCTCGCCCAAAATTTCAGCAAGGTTGGAAATCTTAATCCCTTTCTCATTTTCGTAGGGAATGTCCCTAATTTGTCCCAGCTCAATCTTATTTTATATATATTGGTATGTGCTTGTACTTATGACATTGTTGAGCTGTTGACAACAACTTAATTATACAAGGAGCCAATGACCCTGTAACTCAATTGAATCAATTGATCAATCAACACATCTCTTTATATATCCGAGGTATGGGTTCAAATTTGCAGCAGGACAAGTTCATTATGCCATGTCACGCCTGTGGTCCCTGCATGCATCCCAGCCACCACACAAACCCTAATCAAAACGTGTTTTGGATTGATCGATACATATTTTATATGTGTTGTCGCATAACATATGAGTCACTTTCAAGTAAAGTGATTTAACTTCAACCCCTAGAGTAAGAAAGCCAATTTGATGTTTTTCACAAACTGATTTCTCATATTCTCAAGGTATACTCGTTTCAATTATAAATAACCTCAAATAACAAATATACGTCAATTTGTATTGATCAATCCAAGATGTTTCAAGCAGAAACAGCAATGATATCGGATGCATTTAGTATTCTGTTCTTACAAGGTAGCAAAGTTACATCACATCACACCCACACACACAGAAGAATCAATGAACATCCTGGAAGGTTTATTCCCTTGTTTGCTTCTGATTAAAGTTAATTATGAAAAGTCTTTTACTTAGGCTGTTTAATTGCAATGCAAATAAATTTGCATTGATGCAAAACTATGATTTGAGTGTAAATTCTGACTTATTTTTGTTTCAAATTTTAATTTATTTTATTTTATTACAGTATAAATGAAGTAAATTAAGACATGAAGCATAATAAAGTAGAATCCAAAACAAAATTAAACAAGGATTTGCGTTTTTTACATTTACACTCCATGCATATATAATAATGCAAATAAAATTGCACTGCAACCAAACATAGCCTTAAGGCTGCATTTGGAAATGTGAATGCAAATATGTAGAGTATAAAACGGCTCATATAAATTGCAAAGTTTGGTTAGTTTTGCACCAACAAATTTACCATGTTAACAAAGAGACTTTTAGCTGTAATAGATGTAAACATGAATTCCAAAAAGCATATACCTTTTTTATCAAAAGCCCACTTAAATACAAATTTACTTCTTTTTATTGATGTACTTTTACATCTTATTATTAATATAAATATGCAGCGTTCTGTCATTTTTCAATACATTTAAAATGCAAACTATTGGATTGGTGTAACATGGGGTCAATGCCAATATATAAAATATATTTATATACAATTTGATTATTTAACCGAACTCCAATGTCACATTTTGAATAGGAAAGGATTCGCCTCATGTGACATGTTAATAGGTCCATGTGAAGGATCACATGGCATGGCAAGTTGTACCATGTGGCAAGCAAAAATATCCTTTTTGCAATGCCTGTTTGGATTATTCAATTAAAAATATGGTTTTCAAAATCGGAGCGGACCAGGCGGTTGGACTGAAAAAACTGAGAATCGGTCACCTGACCGGTTTCGTTTTTCCCCAAAACCGTTTTTTCTCTCAAAACTATTGATTTTGTTCAGTAAACCGTTGAATTGGCCGGTTAATCATTCGAACGATTTTGATCGTTTTCCAATTTTTTTGTCAGAACGGGCCAGCCATTCAGGTCGAACGATCAGACCATTCGAACCAATAACCGGACCCCTGACCGATTCAGTCACCGATTCGTTTTTAAAAACCATGATTAAAAAGACACAAATTATTGCACTCCAGTTCAGTTTTCAGTTTTGCACTTCAAATAAAAGCAAACCTGTTTTTTTCTAATTAATGTTTTCACATTGAAAATGAGAATCCATGCCGCCTTCAAGATTGTGGTCACAATGGTTATATTCCGTCAATAAAGGAAGAAACAATATTCATGTGTTTGAATAATACTATTTCCTCGTGTGGAAGGTAGAGACTGGTTTCGTTAGTAGAAAGCCTTATATTCCGTCGTTTGTAGAAACAGTCTGTTCAAATTTGTCTTGTTGCTTCAATGCCTAATCGTGGACCACACATTGTCAAACCAATAGCGTGACTTATATAATTACAATATTGGTACTAATTTTTTGGACAAATTTCCTAAATTATTTCTATTGTTTAACTGATTGAAAATTATACCCTTATGGCATCACCTTTATTATTGTTTCTGATATTTGACATCCCGTTAAGTACTAACAAAAAAATAAATAAATGTCAAATTTGTCCTTCACTGTTTTTTCATTTCGTCTTTGTTTTGGCCTCCACTTCTTCCACTCTTGGTTAAACGGCTAAGGATGTGAAGTTTCTCTGTGATTTCTAACTGTTCACCTTCGTCGGTGGTGACTGCTTGTTCAGTGACCATTTCATCTGCACAGGTAAATACCCACTTGGAAAGATGAAAAAGTTGGGCAAAGTTTCCCCATACCTAAAACACCATCTCCACCGCTCACGTTGGCCCTGAAACGGAATGGAAAAGACAATTAGACTGATACGAAAGAGCTGAGATACTCCTTTCACCGGGTACGGACTCAATAGTGGGCAAACCAAAAAGGGTACTTTGGACCATAAAAGGGTAAGTTAGAAATTTTAGATAAATATAACACTCATATGATATCACTTGTGAACGGTTTTAGGCAATTGTCAAAAACAGTAGGAATGGTGCAAGACAATAGTTATAGTAAGGATAGTCAATTAACTAAACAGTATAATTAGTTTAAAAAATTTGCCCTTTTTTATGCTAACAAATTTCAACCCTTTGGGATCCACCATCAATGATTTATGTGATGTTTAATAAATCTATATATATATATATATATATATATATATATATATAACGTAGTGGGTTTGTAGAATTTTTCTTCATTAAAATACCCATCTTCTTCAATTTGGTTCATCCTCAATGAGAGGGCCAAAAATGTAATTAAAGTAATACTATTAAGTACATTCAATTACCTCTCATTAAGTCTTACATTTAATGCATTAAATAAAGGGAGAATGATGGTTCAGCCCAGGGTCAGAATTTTTAGGCCCAAAGTAGAGTTGGGGTGGGTGCCAACTCAAAATTGATGCCAATTCACAGGCGGACATTGATGTATAGAGTGGGCATTTTTTGACATTTTGAATGTTTATAGATCTGCAATGAAATTCAAAAACCTTCATTGGACTTGTTCATACTTTTCCATTTAATAAATCTCGTTCTCTCTCTCTCCCAACATTTATACTTTTGTTTCT